CATTTAACTTCCTTTTTCTCAGCTCTTGTTCAGCTCATATACCTCTCTTAGCATGTTGTAAAAGCAATGTTAACTTTTCTCACCAAATCCAGGCTAGCGTAACAAAAAACATCTTAAAAAGGCTGCCAAAAGAAAGCACATAAAGGGTAACTCCAATCAAAACAAATACCAGGCCAAAAGACATGATCAGGCACTACATGAAAGAGGACATTTAAATTAGGCATCCAATATTAAAGAAAGAATATTCAAAGAAATACAAACAAAAATGAAATTTTTCTTAGTAGCACTGTACCAGCAACATAAACTCATGTAACCATTTTGAAAACAAATTTGTCCATGAGTATCAAGACCCTCAAAATGTATAATTTTGTGTATATATATTATCTTCTTTATTCTTTTAGACTATCACTGAAGCCCAGGCTGGAGTGCAGTGGAGCAATCTCTGCTAACTGTAATCTCTGCCGCCCAGGTTCAGGCTATTCTGCCTCAGTCTCCCGGATAGCTGGGATTACAGGCACATGCCACCACGCCTGGCTAATTTTTTGTATCTTTAGTAGAGACAGGGTTTCACCATGTTGGCCAGACTGGTCTTGAACTCCTGACCTTGTGATCCACCTGCCTTGGCCTCCCAAAGAGCTAGGATAACAAGCATGACCCACCACTCCCAGCCAATACATATGCTATCTTTCCAGAGATACTCTATGTAGAAGCAAGTCTACACAGACACAAATTACCACAGATGCCTCTAAGGAGAACTAGCAGACTAAGGGGCAATTAATCTTTTCCTAATAATCTCTTGTATTTCAATTTTTTTTTTTTAACTTGGTACAATCTACTAAAAAGAGATGATTTAAGTAGGCCACCTCTGAGACCAAGATGAGTTTACATTAATTTGATTATCAAGGCCAGGAAAGAAACAGACTATAACACTGTATTTTCTGCAGGGACTCTCATGGTACTAATTTAACGTCTAAATCTTGCCTCATCTCTCTAAAAGACTGTATTATTTTCCTACTGTATATGATGAAACTATTTTTTTCTTTACACCATTTTGAAAACTATCACAGGTCCTATTGGTGTGGTGTTAAAAGCTTTTCACCGTAGGGTCACTTATTAAGAAGCAGTTGAAAAAGGATGTAATGGGCCGGGCGCGGTGGCTCAAGCCTGTAATCCCAGCACTTTGGGAGGCCGAGGCGGGTGGATTACGAGGTCAAGAGATCGAGACCATCCTGGTCAACATGGTGAAACCCCATCTCTACTAAAAATACAAAAAAAAATTAGCTGGGCATGGTGGTGCGTGCCTG